AATATAATCAGTTTACTAAAACACAGTTTATAGGTTCAACAATGCTCTCACACCATTGGTTAATGGAAACCCTCACAGACCGAGGTATCCCTGTCCTAAAGGACACGGTGTGGCGAGAAAGGATTTTATAGAAAAGGGGCAGACGACGACAGCCCTCCTTCAACCTTCATCAAGAAAATGGTAATCTACGGGAGTAAAAGGCCCGAGTAACGTAGGATGCCTTAAGCTAACTTCCAGGAAATTACGGTTAGGGCAAAGGATAAGGTGGGGTTTGTGCAAGGCTGCATTTTAGTGGTAAGGTTAGAAAAAGTACCCTTGCTGTAAGTTGGTGCAGGCCCACATTTATACCTGTGGAGGAAGGTTCCTATTTCGGAGTATTACGAAGAAAATTTATTCACGCGCGGAATCCAGCGCAAATTTCTGATACCACTCTCTAACCTAGTGTTTTAGACTTTTCTTGAATATAAAGACTAAATTGCTGAATGCTCAAGCTATTTTAAATGTAAAAGGTGACAGATCTTTCGTCCGAATAAAATTTCGGGTACCGAATACTTGAGCATTTATTTAAGGATAAAGTGATACCATGCTCTGCCTTTGAGTATTTATGTAGAAATCATCAGAGGTTTTAAATCAGAAACTGGGACGATACAGTAGTCTGGTACCCGACCGCTATCATTCCGACGCACATTCATTGTAACGCACCCTACAATACCGCCCGGCCGATGTCCTCCTGAAGCCTGTAAATGGTTTACTATACACAATCCACCGCTTACGCGTTCTCATCATGCTCAGAAGAACGTCCTCACAGTCTTCCTTATTTGACTTTATGCGAATGAAACTACCCCGTGAACAATCTCATTCACCGCCCCTTGCGACCATAGTCTACATGGCTCTTAAAAGTTCTCCCTTTTTTCGACCCGCAATGGACTGTCAACGATCTGTTTTCGTCATCTTGTCGGTCAACTTCGCCATCAGCTACGGAGCATCTAGCCGTATCTGCGATCCCCTCCCTGTTTCGCCTCAGCGTACTACCCCGCCTTCCCCATGAGTACCGTCTTTTTCTTCCAAAAAATCACAATGTGTTCCCCGTTTGCTTTTCATTGCCTCGATTCATTTGGCATTGCCAATCAGCAGAGGTAATATTTTTGGTATCACAACACTGAACTGAAATATTGCAAAAATACACATCCTAGAGGAGCTCGTGAAGTCACAAATCCTTGAGCAGATTACAGGGCATATTAGCTCTATGGTGCATATGGGTTTAATTCAGAGCCTTTGCGGCAGACGCATAGCGGCTAGTGAGGGCACAAATGAAGCAGCGACAAAGATCGAAGAGGCTAGGATGCTCATTTCTGGCCTGCTAACCCTCAGCAGTCAGGTTTCTATAACCTAACAAGCGAACTCGGGGCTCTGGTCATCGAACGTCAGACCCAACAATCTAGCATTAAACTGCAAGACCACGAAGCACGCCTCCACCCGTGCGCCGTGGAGCTAAAGCCAGACGGAATGCCTAATGGCGAGGCACCGACGAACTTCGACTAGACAGGCTCTATCTATAAATTATCTTCGTCGTATGTCTGTGTGTACGTTGGCCTTTACTGTTCCGGATGGTGATCAGGGTTAGGATTGGCGGATTCGCAACAGAACACACCGGAAGGACTACAATTTCAATACACCAGCGTCACATTCGACAGACCCTCTGCTATTATAAATTGGT